TCACCGCAGCTGCAGAAAGGTGTCGTAGATTTCTGAATAGAGAATAGGTGGGCGTTAAGCTCTGACATACCAACCCTGAGTTTCGTGTGCATAATGTTTCCTGTCTTAGTGCCCAGCGAATAATACACCGGTGGAGTCGGAGCACCGAGCCACCGGAGCACTTCACGCTTGAAAGATACAGGCGATGTGATCGTACGGAGGGATTCGGGAAGTTTGTTCCAGTCTCTGGTAGTGACAGGAAAAAAGGACCTTTGGTGAAGAGTGGTTTTGTTGGGAGGGAGTGAAAGTGTGCTTGCGTTTCTAAGTGTTCGCCTTGTTTCTTGTTGTCGAGTTCTTGGAAGAGTCGATACAATGTATTCTGGTAGTCTTGGGTCATCGTTGGAGTTTATTATTTTGTGGTACATTAACCCGCGCACCGACGGGGGGGGCGGATATCCGCCCCCCCTGAGGTTTTTTGCGAATAGCGGGAAAACCGCGGCGCGTAGCGCCGCGAAATTTGGTATGACTATTCCCTTATCAATTTTACACATGGTGTGCAAGTTTGAACCCCCTACCTTTCAAGGTCAGGTCACCAGGTCACTTTGAATGACCCAACCTCAAGTCACTTTTTTGCAACTTTGTCACCGTGCCAGAGCTACAGTAGATGTCGGAGGCCTTTGAAAGTCGCAGGATGTTATTAGGTCATTAGTAGCTACAATTTGTATATCTCGGAATTTTGATATCGGTGACCTAAGGTCAGGTCAATTTCGCGACCTCCCCATTATAAGTCAATGGGGGAAAAATCAACTCCCTGTTTTTACCACTAAAACGGGTCGGAATGGCCCCATATACCATACATGACTTCATATACGATCAACCTGCACTACCTTGAGGTCTGTTTTGCTGTTGGGCAGGTGTGAGGTCATGTGACGTCATCAAAGGTCACCAAAGGTTTTTGGCCAATAACTCCGTACAGGAACAAGATGCAGACGCGTGGATGGTCTCATTGTGTTCAGCTCGTCAAGACGCATCGAATGATATACATGATGACCTCGAGGTCACGTGACCTGAGGTCAACCTTTGACCTTGACCTTTCGAGGTCAACATATATATCATTCGATGCGGATTGACGAGAGGATCACGATGATGCCCTTAGTTTGTTCCTATCTTGACTAATTCGAAAGTTATTCGAGAAAAACTCTCTCCATATTTAGCGCCGCCATTTTGACTTTTTCGACCCCTGTGACGTCATCTTTGACCTGACCTGAAAATGACCTTAGTAAAAATTGTAGATCTTGACCGTGCGTATCCGATGCCGTTTACCGCTTGTCGCTATCTTGCTTCGTTCTCGAGATCTCAGGGGGGGGCGGTCATCCGCCCCCCCCCCCCCCGTCGGTACTAAGTTGGCGCAGACCCCCGTCGGTGCGCGGGTTAATAGTCGATGGATGTCACGTCTTGTTGATAGCGTGCTCCAGCCTAAATCCAACAAGAGTTTGTTTGTCGGTGTTCTAAATGGCACGCCCGCAACTAGTCGTGCCCCTCTATTATGTAGCGTCTGTAGTGGCTCTGGGAGTCGTATAGCGTTAAATGTCGATCATATACAAGGTCACAATAATCAAAATATGGTTGGATATAATATATGTCAAAAACGTTTTTTCAATAACATATCTAGGGAGGAATTTAGCTACTGGATAAAGTGGGCTCATGGCTCTGTTAACTTTTTGCAGGATCTCGTTTACATGCAAATGAAACCTTAGGTCTTTTGAAAATATCAGACCCAAGTGTTTATGGTTATCTTCTTCTTTTATATTCAAACCTCCAAAGGTAAGCTCTAGTGGTGATGCATCTTGCTTAGTTGAAAATGTTTGTTTTACAGTTTTTGACTTATTGAAGTTGATGAGCCATTTATGACCATATGCGTGTATGAGGTCCAAATCCGTTTGGAGTGATTGTCTTGTAAGGTGTTTTTCTCTTTCGTCGTATGGAGCATATACAGTAATGTCGTCCGCAAATAGCAAAACATCATTAGTCAGGTTTTCGGTCACTGCGTTCAAATACATAAGGGCAAGTAAAGGGCCTAAAACCGAGCCCTGCGGGCAGCCCGCTTTTAGACTTAGTGAGGCCGACATGGTATCACCGACTTTCACTCTTTGGGTGCGATCTTTGAGATACGACTTTATCCAGTGTAAAAGACTATCAGTTATGCCGAATTCGTATTGAAATTTTATAAGCATCCCCTTATGCCATATTCTATCGAAATATTTGGATATATCCAAGTAAATTGTTGTGAAATGATTGCCCTTGTCCAAGTTCGAATAAATGTTGTGTGTTAAGTGGAGCAATTGGATTTGGGTGCTGTGTCCCGGCCTATATCCACTTTGACTTTGTGTGAGAAGCTGGTGATCGGTGAGATGCTTGTAAATGTGTTTGAAAACTATTTTGCCAAAGACTTTAGATAAAGAAGGGAGAAGACTTATCGGACTTTGGCACTTAGTGGCACTTTGGCACTTAGAAGACTTTGGCACGATAGTTCGTCAGTTCTGATGGCGATCCTTTCTTTTTGTAAATGGCGTGTACGTTGGCTTGTTTCCATATTGAGTGATAAATGCCCAGCTCCAAGGATGTATTAAACAGTTTAGTAAGTGGTTCGTAGATGAGTATTGCGACAAGCTTTAGGATTTTTGGAGGAAGCTCATCTGAACCCGAAGCTTTGTTAGAGTCAAGAGAATTCAAAGTTCTTAGAACTTCCTGGGGAGTTATCGCAATAGATCTCAAAGATGGTGCTGTCTGTGCGTAGTCATTCAACGGGATATAATCTGCATTATCGTCTATATGTGATTGTTTAACAAAATATTCGTTCAGAAGCTTGGCTTTGTGAGCATCCCCCGTCACAATGTTACCTTCTGTGTCTAATAATGGTGGTATGCCTTGTGTTTTGGCCTTCCCAAGGACAGTTTTGAGAGCATTATGGTATTTGTAAGGTGAATGTTTGTTTTGGAGAAGATAATCTACTTTACCGCGAATGTAATGTGTTGTGGCGCGATGGCAACTCGCGCGACATCTGTGTTAGCACGGCACGACACCTAGCGGTGGCGTTGCCGTACGGTTGTGCGTGTGCCGGCCAACCCCGAGTTACGAGCGGGGGGCTGGCAGTTGTGTAATACACCGTGTGCTGAACGGACGGCTCTGCTGGGCGCACAGACTACACAGACTTTGCGGTGTGCCATGTGGACAGGGCGGTGGTGAGGACGTGGCGAAACAGCTGATTGCGGGTCGGCCGGTGATCGGGAATCAGCTGACGAGTCAGCTGTTCGTGAGGTGAAACAGCTGATCTCGGGTCGACTGGTCAGAGCGGTCAGATGAAATCAGCTGACCAGTCAGCTGTTTGTGTGGTTTGGCGGCCAAGGTCAGTGAAAGTTGTTTACAAGAGAGGGACGGAGAGCGGTCTGGCAAGGCGCCAAAAGTGAATTACAGAAGAACAGTGAGCAGAATATGGCTGGACTTGGATTGCCGGGTGTTAAGGAATATGTAGCAGGTGATGACTTTCAAAAGTGGGTCGGAAGTCTCGAAATATATCTCATAGCAGCAGATATATCGAGCCCAGAAAGGAAGAAGGCTGTCCTGTTGCACATGATGGGGCCAGATTATCAAAGCATTTTTGAGTCACTGCAGCCCGTGGTGATGCCAGATGAGACTGATTGTTTCAAGGAGGCTGTACAACGATTTAAAAGCTATTTAGCTCCAGAGAAAAATGTGATCGCTGAGAGAATGACGTTCCACAAGATGACTATGAAGGTGGATGAGAAGTTTGAGCAGTATGTCAGCCGTCTCAAGATTCAAGGACGCAAATGTGGCTTCAGTGGCCCAGGATTAGACAGTGAAGTGCGTGACCGAGCTATCGCTGGATGTAAGCCCAGCCTACAAGAGAAGCTGCTTCATCAAGCGCTGGAGAAGGGTGACATCCTTTCTCTGCAGCAGGTTCTGACCATGGCAAGAGTGTGGGAAGAAACCAGACGTGTGACACAAGAAATGTCATCACAGCCAGAGGGTCATGCTGTGAACATGTTGAAGAACATGAGCCACCAGGAAGGGCAGCATGTGCAGCTGATGCAGAAGACAAGGCCAGCCACTCACATTAAGGACAACAGAGGGCAGGAGGACAAGCCCTGCACGGCCTGTCAGTTCCGTGGACACAGTGCTGGTGGTCCGCGGTGCCCAGCACGTGGTAAGAAGTGTGCAAAATGTGGTGGTATGGGCCATTTTGCTCGTTGCTGCAAGACTAAGATGCCAAGACAGCAAAAGGGCGGCAGAGTTCATGCAGTCGAAGCAGGACAGACAGAGATGCACCTGAACCTGTGGGAAGTCAGTGACAAGCAGGACCTCCAGGAAAGGGGAAGCAAGGTGTCCGTGCTGGTCAATGGAGGTGAGCTGCAGATGCTGATTGACACAGGATCCCCAGTGTCAATTGTGAGCCGGGACATGATAGTACCTGGTCTCGACATCCGACCATCACAGCTGAAGCTGAAGTCCTTCACAGGTCACATGATTCCACTGGTCGGTGAAGCACATGTGGAAGTCTCCGCAGAGCAGGGAGTGCGAAGGAAGCTGTGCTTGGTGGTGGCTGACATGACTGGAAGGAGGGCTCTAATGGGAAGAGACTGGATTCAGGCGCTGAGGGTGACAGTACCAGGATGTGTTGGAGTCAACATGATGGAACAAGAGCCGCTGGAAGTGGTTCTGGAGAAACACAAAGAAGTGTTTGAAGAGGGACTGGGCTGTGTCAGCATCAAAGCTGATCTGACACTGAAGCCAGATGCAAGACCGGTGTTCCGGATCGCGAGACAAGTCCCACATGCTCTGTTTCAGAAGGTGGACGCAGAGCTGGACAGGTGGCTGAGAGAAGGTGTGGCAGAGAAGTTCCACATCCAATGATGTGGCAGAGAAGGTGTGGCAGCTCTGATCAGTGGACAGGAATATCAACACAGGCTGGGGAACGCCGCTAGTCCCTGTGCCGAAGGCGGATGGAAGTGTCCGACCGACTAGCTGCAGACTACAGGATCACAGTCAACCCGCAGCTGATGGTACAGAAGCACCCTCTACCCACACCTGAAGAGCTGTTCGTGAGGATAAAAGGGAAGAGATTCTGCAAACTAGATCTAAAGGATGCATACCTGCAGATGAAGCTCGACGACGAGTCGAAGAACATGACGACTGTCACCACACACAAGGGACTTCTTCGCATGAACAGGCTACCGTTCGGGATAAGTTCCTGTGGCGACATCTTCCAGTCAGCCATGGACCGAATCTTGGAGGTGCTGGATGGATGTGTCAACTACTTGGATGACCTACTGGTGATGGGAGGCACAGAGGAGGAAATGTTGAAGTCGCTGGACCAGGCGCTGGCGAGACTGACCGAACATGGAGTGCGACTGAAGAGGAGCAAGTGCCAGTTCAACCTCAAGGAGGTGACGTATCTGGGATGGCGGATCTCAGGGACCGACCTGAAGCCAGTGCCGGAGAAGATCGAGGCTCTGCTGAAGATGCCAGAGCCCAAGGACGTCAGTGAACTGCGAACACTGCTCGGTAGTTTGAACTACTACCAGAGACTGATCCCGAACATGGCAACAACTCTGGCGCCTCTCCACAACCTGTTGAAGAAGGAGGTGAAGTGGAAGTGGAGCCGTGAATGCAAGAGAGCGGTGGAAGAGATCCAACGAGTGCTGTGCAGTGACAAAGTTTTGATGAGGTACGATCCCCAGATGCCCATCAAACTGATCACTGATGCCAGCTCAATCGGAGTTGGCGCAGTACTGGTCCACGTCCTGTCTGACGGACTGGAGCGCCCGGTGTGCTACAGCTCAAGAACACTGACTGCAACTGAGAAAAAGTACTCAGTGCTGGAAAAGGAAGCCCTGGCCGTTTCCTTTGGAATCAAGAAATTCCATCATTACTTGTATGGACGTCGCTTCTGTTTGGTCACTGATAACAGAGCGCTGTCTATGATTCTCAACCCACACCGGGAGCTGCCGAGCCTGGCTGCGGCACGGATGCAGCGATATGCGCTACAGCTGGCCGCGCATTCGTATGAAGTCGAGCTGCGCAGAACAGATGTGATGGGAATCGCCGACACACTGTCGAGACTGCCTTTGAGCATCGTCACACAAGAGGAGGAAGAGGAATGGTGCCCCCAGGTACTGAACACGGAGAACGAGGGGCCCACGCTGCACGCAAGAGAAGTGGAGGTGTACACTCGCCGGGACCCAGTACTCGGGAGAGTACTCCAGTACGTGCGCACCGGATGGCCGGGAACGGTGGATCCTACGCTGAAGCCGTTCCACCTGAGGCAGGACGAGTTGTCCACGGAGGGCGACTGCGTACTCTGGGGAGGAAGACTGGTGGAACCGACCAAACTGAGGGACAGAGTGCTGCAAGAAATACACTCAGGACACATGGGGAGCAGCAAAATGAAGCAGCTGGCCCGTCGACATGTGTGGTGGCCAGGTTTGGACCGTGAGCTGGAGAATCTGGCCAGTAGCTGTTCAGCCTGTACGGAGAAGAGAGCAGCGCCACTAAAGTCGACTCTGCACCCATGGGAGCAGACCTCAGGCCCCTGGGAGCGCATACATGTTGACTTCGCCGGTCCATTTCAGGGAACGATGCTGCTGATCGTATCAGACAGTTTCTCCAAATGGATCGAAGTCACGGCAATGAAGTCGACGACTGCGGAACGAACTGTCGAGGAGCTGAGGAAGCTGTTCGCCCGACACGGTCTGCCCATACAGATCGTAACAGACAACGGGACACAGTTCACGTCGGAAGAGTTTGCGACGTTCACTAAGAAAAACGGAATCAGGCACATCCGAGTAGCGCCGTTTCACCCAAGCAGCAATGGTGCAGCCGAAAAAGCCGTACAAACGGTCAAGAACGGTCTACGGGCCAATCAAGGAGAAGGAGGCAGTGTATAGCAGCGACTGGCCCGGTTCCTGATGAATCACCGCTCTACACCAGTGGCTGCTACTGGCAAAACCCCAGCAGAGATGCTATACGGACGGAACATCCGGACTCGTCTCGACCTCCTCCGACCGGATGACAGAACAACAGCCAGAGGTGCTCAAGAAAAGATGATCGAAGATGCTGGTGGACGCCATCGCCTCTTCCAAGAAGGTCAGGAAGTGTGGGCGAGAAGCTACTCAGGCCTCAAGTGGAAACGAGGGAAGATACTAGCAAAGACAGGACCAGTATCGTACGAAGTAGACGTTGGCGTAGCCGTATGGAGCCGACACGCAGACCAGCTTGTCCACGCTGGTGAGAAGACAGAGCACGAGAGAGAGGATCAGAGCCAAGAGAGAGGACGGGAGAAAGAGGACGGAAGGGAAGACCGCCCAGAAAGAAACCCAGACAAGAAACAAGAAGAGAGAGAACAAAGAAGAGATGATCATGAAGAGCGTCAAGCTGAAAAACCCGAAGAAAGGGAAGAAAGAAAAGATGGGGGAGAAAGAACAGATCAGCAAGAAGTAGGGGAGATGAGACAAGAACAGAAAGATCAGAGAGGAGATGACCAGAGAAAACGGCAAGATGGAAGAGCAGACGGAGAGGAAGAAAGAAAAGAAGAGCAGGAAAGAAAACAAGACGGAGGTCAGAGAAGAGAAGCTGAACCGTTACGTCGATCGACCCGGGTGCGCCGACCCCCGGATCGCCTAGTGATGCAGATGTAAAGTCGGTGGGGGGTGGTGTTGTGGCGCGATGGCGACTCGCGCGACATCTGTGTTAGCACGGCACGACACCTAGCGGTGGCGTTGCCGTACGGTTGTGCGTGTGCCGGCCAACCCCGAGTTACGAGCGGGGGGCTGGCAGTTGTGTAATACACCGTTTGCTGAACGGACGGCTCTGCTGGGCGCACAGACTACCGACCCGAACAGGCAAAGACAATGCATAATGTTCTTTAAGTCGTTTGTTTAACCCTCGCCGGACCTATTGGTTTTCTACATACGCGCCGGCCGAGGGGGGGGGCGGGTACGACCCCCCCCCCCTCGCCGTTTCGCCCCTGGTGGAGCTAGCGCGTCGCGGAAAAAACGGGCGTGTGCGCCGTTACGAGACGCAGAGATTGGTACCCGATTTTAAGGTCCTAGGTCAACCGGTGACCTCTGAGGTCAGGTCAAGTGCCCCAAGGTACGGTTCAGTTTTTGGTGAATAACTTCGCAAAAAACGGCCGCAGAGCGCCGATTTTGGCAGCATCATGTTTGTCTCGCTCAGGCGCGTCGAATGATGTACTTTTTGTCCGGGTCAGGTCAACTTGGGGTGTTGACCTCAGGTCAAGGTCAGTTCAGCACCCCCAGGTCACGAAGTTGGTCGAAAGAGGTCATATCGCATATCATTCGATTCGGCAGGTCTTCCTGAGTCCATTGGTGGCTTTCCCGACTCGCTAGCTCAATTTGATCAAGAGTTATTGACGAAAAACTAATATGACCTTGATGACGTCATAAATGACGTCACGCAAGGTCAACATTGCAAAAGTGACGCATCTAACCTTGCAAGGAGTACATCAAATCACGATTCTGTGTGCTTGAGATAGTTGGAGATTGTTCCCGGCGCCAGAATAGCAGTTTGAATTTTTCCCCATTGACTTATAATAGATAGATAGATAGATAGATAGATAGATAATGTATTAAGACCTTCCATGACATAATGGTGAGGTCACGAAAATGACCTGACCTCATATGACCTTAAGAAAAATCCGAGATATACAAGTTGTGGGACTCATAATGGATACTAGATCCTGCAAGTTTCATTTCCCTGTGACATCTCCTCTGGCAGTGAGGGCGTTGCGAAGTTGCGACATCTGAAGACCGTGCAGAGGTTCACTTATGACGTCATAGGTCAGTGACCTGACCTGACCCAAAAACGCGGTTGGTGTCAAAAGATGCGGCTTGGATCAAAGGTCAGGTATGCCAAGTTTCAGCTCTCTATCGCCAGCGTGTTCGGAGCTATCGCGAAAAATCCCTATGGGGGGGGGGCGGCACCCGCCCCCCCCCCTCGGCCGGCGAGGGTTAAGTCCGTTACATAGTTACGTTGCGCTTTCCATCTCTGCCAGTCCGAGTTACGTTGGCGCTGCTTAGCTTGTCTAAAGAGTCTATTCCGTTTTCTTATATTGCGCAGTAGCTCTGCTGTTACCCACGGTTTATGCTGTTTATCTGTACGTAACGCCTTAATTGGAATAGCTGCCCTCGCCGCTTGTAATATGGCAGAAGTGAAGTTTTGCGCAGCCTTATCGATATCACCCTCGAGTATTGTGTCCCAATCTGTGTCAAGTAGTAACTGTGTGAGGAGGCCTGAGTTGAGTTTGGAGTAATCCCACACGTTGATAACCTTATTCTGAGCATTTTCCAATTTTGCTATCTCAAGTGTTGCGAAGATCGGGAAGTGGTCAATCTGAGAAAACGGTGAAAGAACACCGCTGTCAACAATCATTTCCGGCTTACTGGTGAATAAAAGATCACGAAGATTTCCAATGTCCCTTTCCCACCTAGTTGGCTCATTCATAAGCTGGGTAAGGTCTAGTGCGTCTGTGGCATCTTTTAGTTTAACGTCGAATGGTGTTATACCACTATTGATTTGTGTAGAGTTGTGAAGAAATATGTTGCCTACATTCATATCGCCTAAAATAATGATAGATGCTGGCGAGCATGCTTGTGCAATGGTTGTGCTCTCAGTAAGTCTATCAATGAACTCTGATTGTCGTTGTACAGTTATGTTGGGAGGAAGATAGATACAGCAAATGATCAGTAGGTAACCACTTATATTGACCTGTACCCAGACCCAATCTTCTCCCTGAAGTTCAAGATCACTTCTGCGTTTAATTGGTAACGATCTGTGGGCATACATACAATGCAGTGCCTCCACCATGGCGATTACGGTGATTTGTAAATGGCGCATGGAAATTATCTAGATGGTACAGGCTAGGGTGAACGGTACTGTCCAGCTTAGTTTCGGTGAGTGCTAGAATGTCAATATCATTTATGGTGACAAACTGGCTCAACTCAGCCAGTCTATGAGGCGAGGTAATGCTGTTGATGTTCACATGTGATATCGAGACGTTATCCTTCGGGTCTGGTCCTGGGTTGGCTTCAACACCTTCAATTATGAGGATTAATCGAATCTGATTGTATCTGTTTGCGTGTTTCCATTGAGAAAGTGATATGACAGATCCACTGAGAAGATGATAAAGGATAAAGGGAGGATGCGTGAATGTTACCCCGGCGGCCCGGTGTCCTCCTCCGACCAGGCGGACTCGCAGATGTAGATGTCGCAGTGTAGTTGTGAATGTAGATGTCAGCACCGGCGGCAGGCGAGAGGTCACCGCCGGCTCCGGGAAGCAGTCTGGGCGAGGCTCGGCTGCGGCGGGCGGTGGGCGGCGCCGCACGACCGTCACCAGCGAAAACTGGTGGCAAGACATTGAGGCCATGAAGGCGATGGGCGACACACACGAGTACATGGAACAAAAAGGCAGCACGAGCGAAACTGAGGAAATCACAAACATAAACTTAAATTAACATAATTAAACGAAGTAGCAACAACATTAGAGTTCAAAACCGTGTTCACAAGATCACCAATTATAACTCAAAACAGGTGAGTCAGACAGACTACTGAGTACTGACAGTCGGTAGGAGTATCCCACTCAGAAAGAACTACTCCCACGACATTATAGGACTAAGGAAAACCCTACAAAGTACAAAACAAAAGAGCATGGCTCCGCCCCGCCCCTCCCCTTCCCACAACAACGGTATCAATCACAATAGTAACGACTGGGGGCTCTCCTCTCAGATTCCATCTTCCCTTCATGTATCACGTTAGACTACCGCCCCACATGTGAGCTATGTGCAGCCCACCTGCGGCCGCGGCAATGTCCGCCGGAAAAAAGTTGGCAGGGCCTCCTCTAACATACCCACTGGGTGGGCAAATGCCTACCCAGTCACCACAATTGCCCACCCAGTGGCGTCGATTTGCCCACCCAGAAGCAAATGCAAAAAAAGGTCCGGTCAGACGTCCGGTAGGAACTACCACTTCGGTTTCCCGGGGAAAAAAACTTGCTAGCAGCCAGTGCCCCAGCCCCCAATTACGGCAGTGCAAGTTATTTTTTTACAATGGATGCATCTGAGTGCAGGGGCGGTAGCAGACTTGGCGTTTGGGGGTGGGGGCAACTTGGCAACTTTGCCAACCCTCGGAGGGGGGGGGGGCGGTGCTAGCTTACAGGGGCCCATGGCCATAGCGGCCTCAAAGGCCCGTATGGAACCCCAGAGGCCGATGTGGGCTCTCAGAGGCCAGTGCGTGACGCCTAAAGGTGTAAGCCATGGGTCCCCAGCCAGACAACAAAATAGGGCCATCAGAGACCTTAAAGGCTGATTGGGGACTAAATAGGGCCTCAATTTGGAGCCATCAGAGGCAAATGTGGGCCTCAGATATCAGTGTGAGGCCCTTATAAGACTGACATTGGTCCTCAGAGACCGGCATCGATCCTTCAGAAGCCAGTACCTCAGAGGCACAAAAGGGTCAGTCTTGGATCTCAGAGGCAGAAAATGGGCCATCAGCAACCGGTGTGGGACCTTTAGAGGTCGGTTTGTGCCCTCAGAGGCCAGTTTAAGGCCCTCAGAGACCAGTACAGGGCCTGAAAATGGCAGTTTGAGGCCATCAGAGGCCGACTTAGGCTCTCAAAGGCTAATGCGGGTCCTTGAGGCAAGGATGGGACCCTCAGGGGTCAGTGTGGCACCCTAAAAGACAGGCTTGGGCTGGTGTTGGACCCCAGAGTCCAGAAAAGGCCAAGTTGAGCCCTCAGAGCCGATGCAGGTCCTTAACCCGGCAGTTGCTGGGGTATTTCGCCACCCACCGTTTGCTGGGGGGGGGGGGGGGCGTTAAACGCCCTCAGCCGATAACTCGAGAACCAATAGGCGCAGCGAAACGAACGAGGCGGCAAACGAAAGAACGCGACGAGACGCTTCAGATGAGTACTTTAAAGTTGAATTTTGAGGTCACAGGTCGGGTCAAGGTCACGTCAAACATCTGAAATCGGACTTTCAGTAGCATGGACTTCAGGACTTCACAATGGGCGCCTCCCGTCATAAACTCTGTCA